AGCCAAACATTATGAAACCTATACACAATATTCATTACCACAAAACTCAGTAAGGATCAAGTACAATTTTTTTGTTTCAGTTCTCTAACTTGAGTTTGCCTCAACCAAATGTTATGAAACTTATACACAATGCTTATTACTACATAATACAGATTAAGTACGAAATTAGGTGGCAACACTTTTACCATTCTAGAGTTATGTCCCTTTATAAACATAAAAATTGCTGAATTTTTTAGTTTGTCTCAACCAAATGTTGTAAAACTTATACACAACCGTTCTAGAGTTATGCATGTTTACAAATAGAAAAATTGCTGAATTTTTAGTTTCTGTTCTCTACTTAAGTTAGCCTCAACCAAATGTTATGAGACTTACACACAATGCTTATTACCACAAAACTCAGATCAAGTTAAAATTTGGGTAGCGTCACTTTTACCGTTCTTCAGTTATGTCCCTTTATAACTATATGATATGCAAGCGGGGGCATCATCTGTGTCCACATGTGGACACTATCCACATTTATTTCAGTTATAAAATCACAAATTTAGTTAATATTTTTTTATGCTAGGATTTTAAAGAAAACAAATATTTGGGTATATTATGCTTTTCCAAATTGATTCTTGGTGTCAAAAATTACAAAACAATGATACTCCATGAACAGGCATTGCTTTGTTTGCAACAGTATTATTTATTTGTTTCTGTGCCTCAGGGCCCTTGCTGAATTGTCAGTTTTCCAATTAAGGTAAATGCTGTAGCTGGATAAAACATTCTTCTTCCCTTAGTTTATTTATTTTGTATTTGCATTGTATCATAGGTCAAATTTATTTGTTCAGTGTATGTTTACTCGTGTTAATATGTCCTTTGATTGAGTTAAGCTATTTCAGTTGATATTTTATAGTGTGTCTTTCTATGTTGTGATGTTACACTATTGTTTCAGAAAAAGGGTGAAGGTTTGGTACCATTAAAACGTTTAAACCTGCTGCATTTGTTTGCACCTGTCCTAAGTCAGGAATCTGATGTTCAGTAGTTGTCGTTTGTTGATGTGGTTCTTAAGTGTTTCTCGTTTTTTATATAGATTAGACCATTGGTTTTCCCGTTTGAATGGTTTTACACTAGTAATTTTTGGGCCCTTTATAGCTTACTGTTCGGTGTGAGCCAAGGCTCCATGTTGAAGACCGTAATTTGACCTATAATGGTTTAATTTTATAAATTTTGACTTGTATGGAGAGTTGTCTCATTGGCACTCATACCACATCTTCTTATATCTATATATATAAGTATTTATCTTTTTCAGACATTGTCTTTTTCATTTTCCTGTATCAACGTTACATTTATCGTATAGACCCTAAAAGAGTGAACGAATTTGGTACCAGTCAGGACATGTTAGACCCTAATGGTGACATCATTCCTGAGCAATCAGAAGCCATAGAAACAAGCCCATCAGAAGCCATAGAATCCAGCCAATCTGAAGTCAAAGAATCCAGCCAATCAGAAGTCAAAGAATCCAGCCAATCAGAAGTCAAAGAGCCAAGCCAATCAGAAGAAGAGAAAACAGAACATAAGGACAGTAATGGAGAAGCACACCCTCCAAAATCAGCAGAGGAAAAGAAGAATGATTGAATAATTTTATATTTTAACATTTTAATACTGTAGTCAGAAATCCTCAGAACAAAAGGACACAAGGATGGATTGTTGCAATATGTGATGTTGTGATATTATACCTTTTGTAGAGTAAAGATGCTTTAAATATTTGGGTCTTAATTATTGCATTACATAAGAATTCTTATTGTGTCTTGCCTTGGTTCAAAACCAAATAGGAAAAAAGAATCAACAAAAACACAGAAATCCAAGGTAAATTCAAAAAAAAGGAAAGTCTATAAAATCTTATAAAATCAAATGCTCAACTCTATCAACTAAACAGAATGAATGGAAGACAACTGTCATATTCCTGACTTTGTACAGGCATTTTTCTGAAACGTACTTCTGTCCATCTATTCATTTTGAGAAGGAAGTTTTTTGTTTATATTTGGTCATGATGTGTTTAGTTAACATATATATTTCATTTGCTCAAAGCAAAATGAATCAGACACAAGTAAGATGTACTATAATTATATATTATGATACAATATAATTGTCTGATGATCATATTATTTTTGTTAGGATACATGTTTTAATTCTGAACTTAATTTTATGTGAATACACTCCTTCAAGATGCTCTGACTGGTACATTTCATATTTGGTCGGACGATTTGGTCATCATGTTAAGATGCTGTAAATACCTTATCATGCTACTATCTTTAGAACACTTGATGAAAAAGTTACTGTATATATTCTTTTGTCATAGCTTGATACCTTCCATCTGTTTAACTTAAAACACTCACAATTCTTCTAAACCACTGAAGCCAATGACAAGTTTTCCTTAGGGTGTCAGTATGAAAATTTGGTTGTGTTTTGTCTGATCTGTAAACAAGATGCTTATTTCCATGTCATTTGAACTCTGCTGGATAGTTGTCTCATTGGCAATCAAACCACATCTCCTTTATATTGATATCTGATTTGCTGAAACTTCATAAATTATGCTAAACAGATTGATTCGTTCTATGATACTGACAGTAGCCACAGTGCAGTTATTTTGGTCCTGATTCTCCAACATGGATGATAAATTACCCACATATTATAGTAATCAGTTGTCCATCAATTTTATGAGCATGCCTCTTGATGCCTCATTTATTGCTTTATTGAAGTTAAGACTTTATACACATTTCTTGGTTCCATGAAGGCATGCAATCAAGATGCAAACAATTTTCAGATAATTTGTTCCAAAAAATGGTTAAACTTTGATTACATCCCTAAAATGCTTCGAGTACACACCTGTGTTAAAATAAGAATGTAGTGTATGTCAACTGATAAGCAGCATGTAAATGACATCATTGAACAATCAACTCCTGACTGTGTTGTTTGAACATAAGCATTGTGAAAATACATGAATGTAAGAGTTCTCAAAACATTGAAACATAAACAAATGATGATGTGAATAGATATAAGAAGATGTGGTATGAGTGCCAATGAGACAACTCTCCATCCAAGTCAAAATTTATAAAAGTAAACCATTATAGGTCACAGTACGGTCTTCAACACGGAGCCTTGGCTCACACCGAACAGTAAGCTATAAAGGGCCCCAAAAATTACTAGTGTAAAACCATTCAAACGGGAAAACCAATGGTCTAATCTATATAAAAAACGAGAAACGAGAAACACTTATGAACCACATCAACAAACGACAACTACTGAACATCAGATTCCTGACTTAGGACAGGTGCAAACAAATGCAGCGGGTTTAAACGTTTTAATGGTACCAAACCTTCACCCTTTTTCTGAAACAATAGTGTAACATCACAACATAGAAAGACACACTATAAAATATCAACTGAAATAGCTTAACTCAATCAAAGGACATATTAACACCATTGAACATACACTGAACAAATAAATTTGACCTATGACACAATGTAAATACAAAATAAATAAACTAAGGGAAGAATAATAAAAGTAACATGTTATATCGGTAAGAAATGTTAAACAATTAAAGAAAAACAATATGCTCAAACAAAAATACCATCCATTTGCAATAACTTTAAACACAGGTAAATGAAAATAATTTTGTTGTTAGGTATACCTGTACAGTACCAATAGAGAAAGGAAATATTTTTACAAAATAAATAATTTTGAATACAAAATAAATAAACTAAGGGAAGAATAATAAAAGTAACATGTTATATCGGTAAGAAATGTTACAGCCGATTCCAACGAGTGTGTAGCTAATGGTAGAATCTTTGGTTAGCTTCCTTGCTAGCTCAACCATGAAATCATTATTAGGTACGGTACATCCAGCCTTTGGGTGGAGTCAATAGTTAAGCAGAGAACCAATCAGAATTAAGTGACAGAATATAAACATTGTAAAACTAGTTTTACAAGTCAGTTTAAAAATAAGTTTTCAATCTAAATTTTAAATTTAATGATAATTATTAAGATCATTCACAAGCATGTTGTAGGTGTGTTTGATTTGCCAATTTTATTTTGATAAATGGTGAAAAGTTAAATGAAAGCTGAAATTCCTAAAATGTTTTCTTCTTCGTCAGACATTACAAATAATAATATATTTTACCTGTCTGTTAAATTTGTTACATCAAGTTAATAAAATGTAGTTGGATATGATTGCCAAGTGCTGACCGTATTCACTTTTACACATACACATATGTTTACAATACACCCGGACAGGTAAAAAAGATTGGAAGGTGTTCAAAAGTACATATGACCTGATCATTTAATCTAGGTCAGATTAAATCGAACTGAAGTAGAGACATAAAAATTGGTCTTCATGGCTGCATTATTTATCTAAAACTAATAAGTAGTTAACAAACCAAGTGGATGTCCATAAACTCTGCAATATTTTCAATTCTAAACTGCAGTTGTTTGCTGGTTTTTTTTTTCGTTGTATTTTTAACTAAATATAAGTACTACAACCGTGCATGATATTAAGTAGTATAATAATTTTTCTTTTCTGTGTGAATATAAAAGATTTTAGTTCTAAAAAATATGCATATATAAAGAAAATACATAACAATGTTTCATGCGTGGGGAATACACCAAAAGACATAAATTAACTAGACTGCCTATTCCCGGCGTAAATATTAAAAAAAAAAACAACGTGACTCCGCTTCTGATTCTTTGTAATAAAAAGATTTTTTAATTCAATCAAAGAGTAAGAAATGAAATTTCATTTGCAAAGTAGTCTCGGTAAACCTTTGTATGAAACATAAATAATAAACAGGCCATTGATATAAATGTTTTCACTGGATGATAATATAGCGCTGTGCTCCTCCCAATTTTAAGGTAATAATCATTTCATGGTTGAGCTAGCAAGGAAGCTAACCAAAGATTCTACCTATAGCTACACACTCGTTGGAATCTGCTGTAAACAATTAAAGAAAAACAATATGCTCGAACAAAAATACCATCCATTTGCAATAACTTTAAACACAGGTAAATGAAAATAATTTTGTTGTTAGGTATACGTGTACAGTACCAATAGAGAAAGGAAATATTATTACAAAATAAATAATTTTGATGTTCATAGTACGAAGTGAAAATGTATAGTTATACCAAACACTTATCAAAGCTGGTATATAGACCAGATATAACCCCGAATAACATTAAATAACAAAAAAGCAATACAATTAGTATCAACAGGTCAAATAAACAAGAAAGTACGATTGTACTTTGAATTTGTTTAAAGCTAATTTCTTTTAAAATAAAAGAAAGATTTATTGACCTTCTTTATTTTACAGTCATTTTGATGTAACCAAGATCAATTCCTTTTTTCTGACAGAAACACACAATAACAGCATTTACATAATCATTTGACTTCATCCTAATCTGCATAATTTTTTGATGATGACTATTCATAAATTTAGCTATTCTGTTAATCCACTCAATGTCATATAGCTCAAATATTCAAACACCCTTGACCTTCAAGTTGTTAAGTTCGAGCATTCCTGTAAAATTATAATCCAGGGAAATGTTTCTGATGCACAAACTTAATAAAGCGTTATTGGAATTTTTAAACTACTTTTATTTTTTTTTATTTATGTGAAGTAATTTTGGATTTTTTTATATCATGTACAAAATGAATAAATGTTTATTCTAATAATAGGACGAAGACATCTAATAAGAAGCATATAGTGCCTTTGATATCATTAAAATATACAGCTATACCTTTATTTATAAAATGGAAAAACACGGTATTGTTTAGATTTTATAAACGAAAGCTGTTTGATCACAGCTGTCATCACTTATGTCACTAGATACTATCATCAATCCCGTTTCACTGTTGATGTCTATTGCTACAGGAGATTTAATTCCATCAGCTTCTGATAATATCGTCTTACTGGTTTTACCATCAGGTGATACTACCACTATTTTGTTGTTTTCATAAGAAGCTATAAAGGCACAGCCATTCTTGTCTAACGCAAGTCCTCCTGAATAGTCAATGTCATGGCTCTGAAATGTCCAGAGTGGTTCTCCAGTACTTGTATAGCACCTTACTTGGTCTTCATAGAAAACGGTACCATATATATTTCCTTGGAATAATGAAATACTTTTCAGTTTAACCACGCCTTCTAAAATTGTTTGAGACATGTCAATCAGATTCACTCTAGTGCACTTGTCATCACTGCTGATGACCAAAGTTTTACCATCACTCGCTACTCCATAACATTTATGAGAAAGTTTTGTTGTACTTATAATTTTATTTTTTTCTACATCTACAAGTGCAATCTGGTTTGCTTCTAATGTGACGGCAACTGAATTATTACTGACAAAGCAAGCATTATTTGGATATTCTTTGAATGTAACTACCTTTCTGATATAAATGCCCTCATTACTGAACAGATGTAGTCGTTTTTTGTTGTGATCAATTATTATAAATTTACCATCAGGTAATACTAGACAGGCCCATATTATTCCTAAAGACTTGATATCTTTTGGAATAGTAAGTCGTCTCAACAAGGATGGCTTAATCTGTTCAATTCCACAAACATTTGGAACACATTGCTGTTGATTGCATATTTCTTGCATAATATATGCGACTGTTGATAATATTGAGCTAATGGGTTTATGGTTCTTCGACGTCTGGAACTCCTTTGAGTTTTTTTACGATCTAAAATAAAACAATATTCAGTAATATAAAATGGTTTGCCCAAAATATTACTGTATCAAAGTAATTATTTTGAGATGTCCAGAAACTTAATGCAACAAATATTCTTCTCTTTTTTTCATAATGGACAAAAGGGTTACGGTACCGAGAGAGGAAAAAAAGGGGGTGGAATCAAAACTATAAATAAGATAACACGACAATATGACCAAAGAAAAAAAAAAAGACAAATAAATTGGTTTTTGTCTCGCCTGGGACAAATGTCGCAGAATGTTAGACACAGTGATGCAAATTCATCGGCAGCAAGGTTTGCTCAGTGTACCTTGATCGTAATGACATTCGACCACAACGAATTACCGACCAAAACACCCAGTTAAAATCAGTTTACAAGCGACATATGTAACCTTGTGCACTAAAGTTGCATCGCTGAAATGCTGTTTTTATCGACGTATTACTCAAATCCTTTATTCATATACTATTTGAATGAATGATCATTTTGGCTAGGATTTTTTTATGAGTAAAACGGGTAAATGTCAATGAGAAAGACGCGTGTCTCAATTGACGCTTATAAACAATTAGATTTAACTAAATTGTTTTCAGCTTTTGTATAGATCTCTGTGATGGTTTCCTTTGGGTGAAAATGTCAACGGTAATAGCCATGTTTATTAGTCCCCTACCGACGAAGTCGAAGTGGACTTTAGGTTTGCACTCTGTCCGTCTGTCCGTCTGTCCATCCGTCAGTCCGGCAAATCAGTTTTCCAGACTTTTTTTCTTCATGCTTGAAGATATTGATTTGATATTTGGAGTATTGTTTTATCATGACAAGTTACAGGTCAAGTTCGATTTTCACGATTTTAGCTTTTCTCCTTGTTCAGTTAAAGCCCTTTCCCTAGAATTAAATTTTTGATGAAATACTAATTAATTACTAGATTTCTGTTCAAAGGGAATTAACTCATTTTTTAACTTTCCCTAGAATAAAATTTTTGATGAAATACTTATTAATTACTAGATTTCTGTTCAAAGGGAAAAACTCATTTTTTTAAAAAGATTTGTAAAAGACATTGTATTAAGATAAATGATATTTTGGATTTTTTTCCTTTTCTTTAGTAAATTATTTGAATAATTTAGTGGTAGGTTTGCTCCATTACAATGAATTTTTAACCGGTAGGGGACTAAGTATTGTCATGCAATACTCACAGAATGCTTGTTTATGTCCAATTACTTTTAATCACTTACTATCCAGTTATCGCTTTAAAAATCGATTGTGGATATGAATAATTACATGTAGACAGTGAATAAGATAGCAGCGTTTCTTAACTGTGGTAAAAAAAAAAAGATCATCTATAATTCAGATTTATTTCTCCCAATTGTCAACGATCGTTATCGTAATGTATCTACGCGTAACCATAGTTAACATCAGATACATACAGAAACGCACCTTTAGTATATGCTAATAAGGTATATTCGTATAGCTTGTGTGCACAAATCTGATTGTGTGTTTTTTTTTAATTATCAGTGTTTGTTTTTAATTTTTTGATCTCGTGTGTAATTTTTCTTATTTTGTCAGTGTGTATTATTGAACTTTTTAAATCTCTGTGTTAATGTTAAATCTCAATGTGTAATTTGTAATGTTTACACAAATGTGGTTTTTTTTTCAACAACTGTGAACTTTCTAATTTCTGGTTAAAGAACTTAGGTTTCTCATTTTCATAGTATTGTCGCCAAGGTAATATTTGATCAGAATTAAATGGGGTTAATGAAATACACGAACAGTTGAATTACTTCAACATTCTTACCTGACCATTTTGACAGGAAAGAATTTGCATATGGAAGGTAAATATCAATTTATCTGTGATACTTATATATTTACCTGGAGTTATTGATTAAAATTTAAAAATACTTGGTCTTCTTTCGACTTAATACATTTAAACTCAACTATTTAAAGAAAAACAAAACACAAACTTATGTTTGTTGACTAGATCGAGTATTGCAAATTGTGAGCTGCCCGATGATTTAATAAGACATGATCAATATAAACATATACACTATACAAGGTGAATTCAATAACTTAATTGCACTAGAAAAATAATCTCATGTTAACCTTTTGTATTTGAATAATTGAATAACTGAATGTTCCGTGGCCGATCAGGAAAAACCCATTTTGGGAAATCTGTGTTCTTTTGTCAATGCCAACGAAACTCTAGTGTTGGACCTCACTTAGGAAAATGAGAAAAAGAAAACATAATTCTGTTTGTAGATATTGAAGTAAAAAAGAAATCTAGTCATTAGGACTACGGCTATAAAATATTTGGTACAAAAGTCGAAATACGATTACGTTTGTATAGCCATTCCACCTACATAAAAATCAATATATTTGCCAAAATACAACATTATTCAAATATTTTTCTTTAAACATCCCTGAAAAATACGATGTTCACAGTACGAAGTACAGGCTAGAATTAACTGCATAAAGATGTCGCTTGACAATCAAATTTTATGGCACCAAAAATTCCTACGCCTACACTTACATGTATTACACACGCGCAAGAAGACAATCAATTCCCGTTATACTTGTGTGCCTCGGGAATTTTTTATTTTCAACTGTTGACAAAAATTTACGAAGCGTCACGTTAGCGTAAACTCAAGTTGATGAATGTAAATATAAAAATAAGGAGAGGTGGTGTGATTGCCAATGAGTCAAATATCCACTAAAAAGAAGTGGTTATAATCAAATATGGGCGACCGTAGGCCTTCAACAATGAAAACACCTTTACCGAATAGTCGGCTTTAAAAGGCTCCCACATGAAAAATGTGAAACAATTTAAACGAGAAAAATAACGGATTATTCATAACAAAATGATTGACAAAAATAAATATGAACCAACGAAAACCACTGAACAGGCTCCTGACTTGGGACAGGAACATATAGAATGTGACGGGGTCAATCATGTTTGTAAATACATACACTAGATTCAACCGGTAAAAGGAATTAGGATCTTTGAAGAATCGCCTTATTTTGCTATTGAAAAAAGACAAATATATATATTTGTATGCAAAGATGGCAGAGAGAACATGCTTGGTTAGTTACACTTGGGTTTTGAACAAGCTTTTAGAAACTGCGAGTACTCTTAGATCGGTATTCTGTGTCTTTTGTATTAAAGTGAATTGTTTTTATGCTTAGGGCTCATGACACGAGGAGTCGCGCATTTTCCAAATGATTTATACAGTGTATTCTTTTGTAGTATTGTCACTCTACTGTCCTAGTTTTACACTCACAAACATTTTTAACCCCGCCACATGCTTAATGTGCCTGTCCTTACACAGAAGCCTGGCCTGTAACCCAGTGAATGTCGTTGGTTGCTGCTTGACATAATTGTTGCTCGTGTCATATATCATATATACAATACTGTTGGTTGTTGATTGTGACCAAATTGATTTCAAAAACTGAAATGTTGGAAATTTTCTAAAGAGGTATATTTTGTACCACCTTAAATCTGCGAAAATAACCTTATTTACAGGAAGCTAGTGGTTTTAGGAGCAAAGTTGAGAATAGCGCGCTGTAGCCCTTAATCCTTTGTGTGGGCTAATATAAAGCCTATACGATTCCAACCCCCCACCCCATTTTAAATTATACTTCTAAATAGTAGGATAAAAGAAAGATATTCCAAAGGAAAGTATAAGTAATGATTAACTCAATTAAATCTTTTGTTCAGGTAATCACTTTATCAGGTCTATGGTGTTTTGTTATGAATATGGAATATATCTAAAAGAAAGTATGATCACTGTAAATTATTCGTTTTTCACTTATTATGTTCGGATTGTGAAGATCAACTCACAGAAAACCTTTCGTCAAGGTAACGATTCAAAAGTCTGATTCTAATTGTATTGTCCATGATGTATACAGCTATTATTCTTGCATTACAACCACAGACACTTTTCTCAGAAAACAAATTTCCTATATACCTTAATATAACACAAGGTACTTAACTCTCATTTTTGAAAAATGTCACCCGGTCGCGAAATTCCGTTATATTTCGATTTTCGGTTGTCAACCCCACTAAAACTTGTTATGCCGTAAATCTAAATTGATTTATCTACACAATTGTGTATAACACGCCTGTGTTATATTAAGGTATATAGGATTTTTTTTCTGAGAGAAGTGACTGTGATTACAACTGAAGTTAATTAAGTGCCTTCATTTTAATTTGGACAATTATAGGCATTCGCCTTTTGATTATAATAGTTACTATGGTAAAGAGAAAAAGAAAAAGGTTAGATTGTTACAACCGAAATTATACAAGTGTTAACAATTTTACCAGTTTAATTAGAATTTCATTAAGAGCTAGTTTTAAAATGTCTATGTAATGATATGTATTGTCTTTTTGTGATGCAGGTGAACTGCTATTAGAATTCGACGAGTTCCGCTTAAATATTTGATGCTGCAAACCTTCTCTATATACCTCTAGGTAAAATGAAATTAAAAAAATGCCATACAATTGGTCAACAAATCTGTTTTTTTTTTGTTTTTTTTGCTTGGAAAAAGCTGATCCTTTTAATGTTTTAACTAAATGCACTTCTTTTAAATATGTATATTTCAAAGTGGTTGATCTATTAGATTAGCATCAGGAAAAACACAATGTGTAAAGATTATTTTGCTCGAATATATAGCATCAGGGAAAACACAATGTTTAAATATTGTTTTGCTCGAATGTATAGCACCAGGAAAAACACAATGTGTAAAAATTGTTTTGCTCGAATGTATAGCATCAGGGAAAAACACAATGTGTAAAAATTGTTTTGCTCGAATGTATAGCATCAGGGAAAACACAACGTGTAAAGATTGTTTTATTCGAATATATAGCATCAAGGAAAACATAATGTGTAAAGATTGTTTTGCTCTAATGTATATCATCAGGGAATACGCAATGTGTAAAGATTGTTTAGCTCGAATGTATAGCATCAGGGAAAACACAATGTGTAAAGTTTGTTTTGCTCGAATGTAGAGCATCAGGGAAAAACACAATGTGTAAAGATTATTTTGCTCGAATGAATATCATCAGGGAAGACACAATGTGTAACGAGAAAATAAAACGGCATATTTTTAACCCCGCCACATTATGTATGTGCCTATCCCAAGTCAGGAGCCTGTAATTCAGTGGTTGTCGTTTGTTGCTGTATATTATATTGTTTTTCGTTCATTATTTAGTACATAAATCAAGCCGTAAGTTTCCTTGTCTGAATTATTTTACCTTTGTCAATCCGGGGCTTTGTATAGCTGACTATGCGGCATGAGTTTAACTCATTGTTGAAGGCCGTACGGTGACCTATAGTTGTAAATTACTGAGTCATTTGGTCTCTTGCGGATAGTTGTCTCATTGGCAATCATACCACGTCTTATTTTTACATGAATAATATTTGTGAGATACGTAGATCAACAACCTAATAAAAAAACAGAAACGACAAATAGAGGGTAATATACTGCCTTCAACAATAGGTAAGGGACACTAAGGATCGGGTAGACATTGGTAAAGTGTGAGAGCCATTGGAATCCGTAATGTTTTTATACTAGTCAGTTTCATGTATGTATATGAAACAGAATAAGTACAATGTGTTGCTTAAAATATGATAATACATGTCGAGAAAGGTTTGACACACATAAACCATTGATTTGGATGGTTAACCTACTAAATAAGACTTTTAAGTCCGGTTTGTAATCCCCTCAAACATTAGTTTGTTCAAATGATTAATTTTTTTTTTGCATCACCATACCCCTCTCTAGAAATTAGTAGACAATGGTTCCATATACATACAGCTGGACCTATATCCTATTCAACAATAGGCAAATCATATATTGATTTGTTACTGCTCATTGTGCAATCACACACTTAAATCTGTTACTTAGTATATATATATTCGCCAGGCTGAATAGAGTGGAAAACTTTGAGTTTCATGAAACTGTAAAATTTCAAGGGTAATGTTTCATAAGTAGTAAAAAGAAAGTAAACTGAACCTTGGTTATTATTGTAAGGTCACTTGTTGTTAGATAGCTGGAGTTTTCAAGTACCTTTTCATCGTTGGTCTTCAAATGTTTCTGTTTGAGTTTTCCTGATTAAGGTAATTCCCCAAAAAGAAGTCTTTCGGATGCTCCAATATTGTTAAGTTTTCATTTTTTAAATACGTTTATTTTTTCTATAATTTTTATCTGTGAAGTGAAAAATTATGAACATCTCTTATTTCATGTAAAAAGTGAAATGATGTTTTGTTTTCTAATAAAAGGATTGAGACGCCTTTTAAAATAATGAAGATATAATGCCTTTGATAAATACTATGCAATTTTCAAAATGAAAAAAATGCCACTGTTTACGATATATTTTATCAACGAAAGCTGTATAAAAAGATCCATCACTTATTTCAGTAGTTACACTATCATAATTCCTGTTTCTCTGTTGATGTCTATTGAATGAGGACACTTGATTCCATCAGCTTCTGACAGTACTTTTTACAGGTTTTACCAGCTGGTGATACTACCACGATACTGTTGTTACTGTTGCAAATTATATAAACAAAGCCATTTATGTCTAGTAAAAGTCCTCCTGGCCAGGTAATATCATTGTGCTAATATGTCCAGAGAGGTCCAACGTTGGTTTTGTAGCAGCACATTTCCTTGAAATTGTGAAATTCATTCCAGTTTCTCCATTCATGCGAAAAGAGGGACGAAAGATACCAGATGGACAGTCAAACTCATAGATCGAAAACAAACTGACAACGCCATGGCCAAAATTAGAAAGACAAACAGACAAATAATAGTACAGATGACACAACATAGAAAACTA